AGCAGTTTCCTTCCTTTTCTTTTCTGGTGGCCTATGGTTTGATGTCAGGATGTAGAAGAAATTCACTCTGCCTTTTTGGGGCAGACCCTCCTCCTGCCAAATCGATGGCTTGCCACTTTTTGTTGTTGTTGAAAAATAACTCAAGATAGTTCCTTCAATTAATTTTTTAAAACTACAGAATACTCATTGAGCTGTAGGGTAAGGCAGTGGTTCCTAATTTTGGGCGTCCAGTGGTTTCCTGGACTACAACTCCCAGAAGCCTTTGCCACCACCTCCGCTGGGCAGGATTTCTGGGAGTTGAAGTCCAAGAACATCTGGAGGCCCAAGGTTGGGGACCACTAGACTATGAGGCATACTTGAGTAAGAAACCCTCACCTCTGTAAAGTATAAAGCTATAAAGAGTCACAGTTACATCACAAAAGGAATAAATCTCTTCCTTGTTATCTTAAACTTAACAGAGTTAAGTTGCCGAAGCCAACGAAACACCAACGGGAAAGAAGTTTGGTGTTTTGCTTTGCTTCAGCGAAACCAGATCCCCAAACGGGGTTATCAAACCAACCCGTTTCATGACCCCACCTCTAGTGTAAGAGTTCTCTATAGATACTGATGAAAGCCAGTGAGGCCAATGGCATCTCTTATACCTGCTGGCACTCCTAGGGCTGAGCCAATCACAGCATGAATGAAGACGAGGGGGGACGAAAAGCACAGGGCCACCATGATAATGCCTCCGGTCCAAGGGTTATCGCAGCCATACACCTGGCCCACCCCAACTGGGATCGACTGCAAAAGCTGGGGAGTGAATGAAGAGGAGAAAGTTATAGGATACCACCTTCCCTGTTGAAGCTGACAAATTGATAAGAGCCATTAGGTGCCCAGAATCCTTTACATTTACATTACATTTACGATTGCATTGGGTATTAATACATTATCTTAGTCTAACGTGTCTTATCAGAGTCAGTCATTTAAGAAAAAGGAGGTTTAGAGTTCAACTGTAGGCGGAGAACCGTCCCCAGACACACGGACATTTTCGGAGTGCCAACATCATTTGTGAGGTATTTCACAGCACTAGGGGGTGACCTGAAAGGGTGGGTGAGCCTCAGGATGGGGATCTCAGACATCTGGCTGGAACACAGCTTATTTTAACAACAGAATCAAACCATTTGGAGTGTATAAGTAATGTGCTGAAATATGACAACAACACAAAAGAACAAGTAAAGTTTACAGTTCTCCAGCATCCCTCTTATCATTTCCAGTCACTCCTTAATCTTAACTTGGGGCCAAGCAAACATGCTAAGAATTCCACTTCTAGAAGGAGTGCTCCCCCAAGTGACAAAAAAGGTACAACTGTGAATATATTAAAGGGAGGGTGCATCTCAAGGTTAAATGTATGACACTCAAAACAAAGTCCTCAGAGCATTATAAAAATGTATTTTAAGTGTGTCATGACAGACAGAGGAGCAAACCAGTCTGTCCCCAAAGTGGACCAGACCATGGGACAAATCCCCATCTAACTGCACCCTAAATTGCCTTTATAGTGGGCTGCTTGGATAGGATTTATCCAGATAAATTCTGTAAACTCCCTGTGAAGCAAATACAAGAGGATATGCTCTGCAGTGCCATCAAGTGGGCATTTCAGTACAGTTCAGTATTGTAATACAGTACAGCGGTGCCTCGCTTAGCGATTGCATATTGTAATATATTGCTACATTTGTCATAGTAGATCTGAGCCTAATGATAAGAATTTCATCTTTTTCTCAAAAATTAAATCCCCTTATCCATGTGAAATTGCAACCTGGGCATGCCATTGGGATTATTTTTGGAATTAAAACAAAAGTTTCCTTTGCCTGTCTAATTCTGGTGCCATGCCCTGCAAAAGTGGATCCTTTCTTTGGGTACAAAATTTTTTTTCAAAAGGAGGGAATATATATTTCTCTGGATGTATGTTTTTGCCTTAACATAATAATAACTCCCTCCTCCTTCAATACTTTCCTCTCTCCCTCCTCTGCAGAAACAGTCCCTTGCATCCTATTAATCTCTGTCAGACCCGTTCTCACAAAGGGTTCCTTAGAGCAGTGGTCCCCAACCTTGGGCCTCCAGATGTTCTTGAACTACAACTCCCAGAAGCCTTCACCACTATCTCTTGGCCAGGATTTCTGGGAGTTGAAGTCCAAGAACATCTGGAGGCCCGAG